TTTCTGCAGCTATTTTCTAGCATTTGCCAGCCCCTGTGCCTGAACTGATTTGAATAATTTGTTTTTTTCCTGTGCCATTTACCCTCCCACCTCTCCTTCCTGCTTTCCACTACTCTTGGATGAATGGATTTTGTATTTCTAGCTGTTGTATTGTGTGGATTTGATATTTTTGTTGTTTTTCTGTGAAGCACATACATTGGATGTGGGAGGTAAAGGAGTATCTCATTTGCTCCTGGTCACTCCCTTTATAGCCATCACTGTCTTGTTTTTTGTAACTCAGGTTAGGTTTTGGTCTCTCTTGCTCCACTGCAAAACAAAACAAAACAAAAAAAAGCAAAAACAAAAGTCTGAAGAGATGGGACAGGAGGAAAGACCTCACAGCCAGATCTGCTGGGTTTTGAGGACTCAGTGAATTTCTTTCTTCCCCTTGAAGGGGAAAAAGCTTTTTTCACTGGTACATTTAAAGTTCCCCGACTATGGGGAGGTACCAATTCTGGACAAGTGCCACCACAACATGAATGCTCAGAGAACCTGAACTTTCCATCCCTGGAGGATGGAAATTCACAGTTGGCTACTGCCGAGCCTGTCTGGTGTTTCAAAGGAATATTGGGTGCTGCAAATAGGAACTGAAGGGGTAAACTTATTAAACCTGTGATTAGTTGGTGTTTTCCTGTCATTTTAAGAGACTAAATATGTCAAAACACTTGTACAATTTTAAAATGTCACAATTAAACATAAGCTGGTTTCCCACAAAGTGTGTAATGGTTGAATTTACAAATCATGTAAATGTATTCATGGAACACAAGACTTAGTCTTGGATAATTGGTTATTTGTGTGTTTTTTGTTTTTTGGGGTTTTTTTTCTCAAAGACAATTAGCTTATGGTAATTTCATGAAGACATTTTCAGGAGAAATTAACGGTTTCTGGGCTAAAGAACTCAACCCCCAATATTACAACAACCAATTCAAAAGGTAAATTTATAAAGAAGTATAGAAGTTCCTGTTGGGCAAGTTAGCAAGGGACAATGCTAGAAAACTCAAGAATTTCATGAATGATACCAAATTGGTTATTTGTTTTAAAGTCTATATGTACATCTCTAGTGGGTTTTAGTGAAGGGAGAAAGATCTTTCTAGATTTCAGGGTACTGAACATTCCATTAGTCAAGGGAAGAGTTTAATATTTGAGCAAGACAAAATAGGAATTAAAAATTGTTGCTGGGAGTTGTAAACTAAGTTTGAAGTAATGCAGTTGATGAAAGGAGGGTGTTTAAATAGTGGGCATCTTGGAAGTGATTGCTATTTCCAACGTATGCACAAAAAATTGTAAAAGGCGAGTTTCAGGTAAGATTTACTTCCGGCATTCTCCTGTGATGTCTTTGGTCATTTGACAGTAGTATTGCAGCAGAAAATTACTCAGGTTGCTATGAAGTTTGATGAAGATTTCAGTGAGATTTACTTCCGGCATTCTCCTGTGATGTCTTTGGTCATTTGACAGTAGTATTGCAGCAGAGAATTACTCAGGTTGCTATGAAGTTTGATGAAGATTTCAGTATTTCATCTGCTTGTAACTGATTAGTGATTGCTTTATTTAAGCTTAGTTTAAATTAAATTAAGCTTAGTTATTTAAGCAGCCACATCGTTGCTGCCTGAAATTTGTATTAGTACCAACTAGTAGCATCTCAGTTTAGTTTAGAAGGATGAGGGAGGCCGAGTGGTGAAGATAAGTGATTTTATTCCCAGCACTGTTCTGGCTGTAGAAAACGCTTAAAGTTTAAGTGACTGGAAGCAAGGAATCGCCAAAGTTTTATTAGTGTTGTTGAGAGTCCAAACCTGTATAAAAGCTGGATTAAGCATATCTGCAATAATAGAAATTTGGTAAAGATCTCAAATGAGGTATATACACAAAAGCAGTGTGAACTTTTCTTGCCTTTTCATGAGGGAACAGACAGACATTGAGAATGGTAATTAGGAAATTGGGATCAGAGAGAGACTAGGCTGTTTTTGCCAAGTTCAGAATGGCAGTTTGAGGCAGACTAATAAATGGTAACAAGTAATAAGGGAGTTGATTAAAAATGAAAATTAGCTAAAGTTTTAATCATGCAACCTTTAAGATCTGAGGAATTGTTCACAAAAGCTCTTTTCAGGGACAGACATCATAGCTTAGACAGGTGTATGTTATTCAAAACACTACCCTTTTTATTCTCTTTTACGGCTGAGTTGTCCATTATATTAACTCTCGAGTTAGACTGCGATGCTTCAGATCTGAATACAAGTCTGCTAGAAACTTTCAAATGGACAGATTCACGCACTTACTTGTGTTAACTGCTCTGCATTTAATAAAGGCTAAGATAAAGTTTTAAGAGGAGTTGTGTCCGGGAACAAATCCAGAAGTGGGCATGTAATGGTCAGAGGTTTGTAAACCACCTTAAAAGGATAACATCTGTGGGGAAAAGGCAGCTATCGTTGTCTTCACTGTCTACTCATTTTCTATCCACTAATATCACTTTGTTCTCTGATTAAAACTAGTAAATTCACTCAGCTCCTATACTCGTGTTTACCTTCATCATGGATGTTGCTCTGGTAAAGGTTATTGGTTCATCAGTAGTGGAGTGGAATAGACAGTTTAGCAGTCATCTCATCTCATTAACATATTCCACCTATGTTATATGGTCCATGGATAGAAGTTAAAAAGGAAGCTGAGTTCAGATCCGCTTAGACCTTGTAACTTAAGACATTGGTAACAAGAGCCATACATAATGAAATATTTTGGATGGACGTAAAGTGAGCCCATAGAACCAGGAAAGGATCAAGTAGGGGGAACAGATGACTTAATCGTGTGACAAGTATTTGAGCACTTTCTCTGTCAGACACTGTGTGAGGCATTGGGGATTCAAGAGTGAACCAGAAAGGTGTGATTCCTGCACTCTTGGACCTAACAGTCCAAAGGGATGACAAGCAAATGAACAAGTAAAAAATTACGTGATCAAATAGCTACTGTTTTTCTGTAGGTCTCAAAGCTGGATAAAATACTGGAGTTCAGAGAAGTTTTGAGTAGGATGATAGATTAAGCCATATGTTGCTCAGCCTCTCATTCTTGTACTCATTTTCTGATTTCAGATTTAAATGTTTTGTAGTACTTTGAGACCTATGGAAAAAGTAGTGGCCATTTGAACATTTAGATAAGTAGTTCTTTTTTTTTTTTTTTAAAAGATGACCGGTAAGGGGATCTTAACCCTTGACTTGGTGTTGTCAGCACCACGCTCAGCCAGTGAGCTAACCGGCCATCCCTATATGGGATCCGAACCTGTGGCCTTGGTGTTATCAGCACCGCACTCTCCCGAGTGAGCCACAGGCCGGCCCTAGATAAGTAGTTCTTAACCAGGAGTCAGCATTAGAAAAATCTCAGCAGCTTTTCCAAAATACACATATCAGAACATGTGGCCCTGAAGGAAACTTAAGTAATTCTAGAAATAAAAGGTAACTTAAGAAATTCTAATAACCAGTTTTACAGAAACTTGAGAAGTTATTGCATCCACAAAGTAAGAACAGATTGTTGTGAAAAAAGAATAAAATAGAAAAGTTCTTGGAAATTTAAGCAGTTGTGGAAATTTTTAAAAATTGAAATGGCTTATAAAAGCAACACTCAGGAGGCTAAATTGGTGAACTTCAAGATACAATTGAAGAAATTTCTTAGAACATACAGTACAAAGATCAAGAAAAAGTTCAGAATTGTGNCTGGATTGATACGAAAATTGGAGTTTCAGATTGAAAGGCCCTGCCAAGTGTAAAGCAGGAAAAATGAAAACAAAACCCATAGATGGAATCTCTAAGGAAAAACAATTTATCAGAAAGAAAAACAGATTACCTATAAAGGACTTCTCAAGAACAACGTTGGATCATAGAAGATAATGTTTCAATGCCTTGAAAATGTACTTTTATGGATGTTTGTGTGCGTCTATGGCATGGGTGGGTCCCAATTTCGTTCCTAAAATTCTAAACAGCCAAACCATGCTATTTATCAAAGACAAAAAAAGATCTTTATTTTTTTTTGGCAGCTCACTGGTTACAAAGACATTTTCAAACACGCAAAGGCACTGTTTGCTTTCCATTCAGCTTTTCTGAAAAAGTGACATGAATAATCCATTAAAAATTAAAAATAAAGAAATAGAAACAGGAAGACATCTTAATGAAACAAAACACCCAACCAAATAATATAAAACAGTGGAACCCAGATAGGCAACAAGAGGAGAACTCAACAATACAGCTTTAGAAAGCTGGTTCTGGGGAGAACATTTTCAAGAAGAAAACATATTTTTATTCTGGTGTGCTACAGATGAGATGAAAGCATGTATTTTTTTCTTTTTTTAAATTTATTTTTAATTGATACATATTGATTGTACATACTTATGGGGTATGGAGTTATGTCTCAATACATGTATACAATATGTAACGATCAAATCAGGGTAATTTGCATACTCATCATCGCAAAAATTTATCATTTCTTTGTGATGAGAACATTTGAGCTCTCCAAACTATTTGAAAACATACAATAAATTATTAAGTACAGATGCGTAGCACTGC